GATGGCAGAACCCACTTAGAGCAGGCAGGTTTTGGGGCTTCAGGGGTGCCTCTGAATTGAGGTGCCCTATAACAAAAGGAGTTAAAGTCACCTCCAAAAAAGGGGTTAGGAACGTCCCAGAGAACTAGGGCAGGAGAGACCCAGTATTCACAAAGTGAAATAACCCACCATGAAGCTGACTTGACAGCTGTTGTCACCCTGTCTGCCTGCCAAAGCACTGAAGCCCCAGGGGAAGCCTCTCAAGAGTCACGCTCTCCTCCCTCGGTCCACCTGTGTCTACCCATCTATGATCTACCAGCCCGCTGTCGTTATTCCTCATTCCCAACTGCCCATATGTCCAGGAAGTCTGGTTCATGGCATCCTGGGAGTTGTAGTCTAAGACGTCTGAGTTTCTGACCATATGAAAGCAGGAATGGGGGAAAATGGCACCAGTTTCTGCAGTCACATGACAACACTTCTCTCTCTTTCAATGGGACATGTCTCGTAAACAGTGTCTCCTTATTCCCATGCATTTCTTAGTCTTGTCTTTTATGGCTTTGCCTCTAGGTTTGTATCTTAGAACTCCCATAGGTCCTAGAGCTCAGCTCAAGATTAATCAGCCCTCCAGGCTCTGCTGTTTGTGCAAAAACAAAGGAAAGTTTAGATAAGCTTGTTTTTTTTTTTCTTCTGAGCTTTGGGTTGAAAGCAGTTTAAACATCTAGCCCTGTTACAAAACCAGAGAATGAAAGTTCTAGTAGAAGATTGTTAATTTGACTTTGTATTTGTTGAATTTGTCTTGTGGGAAACTGTGGGTTTGGTTCTCTAGGAGGTTGTTGTAAATGTAGGGCAAAGGACAGGGTAAAGCTAGAGATTGGATTTGAAGGGTTTTTTATTCTATTGATATCGGAGGCTGGTAAAGTGGATAAGATGAATAGAGATGGAGGAGTGAAAGAGGGTATCAGACTGGATGAAATTCTACACTTAGAAGGGAAACAATGAAGAAGATAAAGAATATTAGGACAACATATTGGACATTTTCAACAACAGGACAGCTGGTAATACCAAATTGGGAGTTGAGGGGGTTTAAGAGATGCCAGATGACTGGAAAGAATTAGAGAAAGAGGCAAAGTAAATGGTGGTGATGTTGTTTTTGGAGTTGGTAAATTTGGAGTGCAGGGTCCTTGGGTTCACTGTGGGAAAGGTTTCTCCAGAGCTCCCCTTCAGGGCATGCAGTGATATTCTCCATGACACAGAGACATTTGTTATATATAAAAGACACTTGTATAGAATAGATACAAGTGGGCAGGAAGAGCTGCTCTGTAAGGGACAGGTGTGTTAAGAGAGAGGCCAGCAGGTTGCAGGTGGGCAGCCTTGAGGAGAGCTGCCTCTGCTAAAGGGAAGTCAGTGAAGAGAAGCTGCAGCAGGTACAGGTCCCCGGCAGGCAGGACGCTGCTGCATGTATAGGAAGAGAGCTGGTGGAAAGAAGCACCTGCATAGTCACAGATGGGCAGAAAGTCTTCGGCCCCTCTGTGGGGACAGAGCTGGGTTTTGCCATCTTCTTTCCCTAGCAAGGGTCTCATATTCATAAGTGGATGTTTGTTCCTTAACCCCCATATGGTCATCTTCAAAGCAGCACTCCCTGCAACAGTCTGACACCTGTCTGGTTGTTGTGCCTCCTGATCTGGGCACTGAGGCCTGAGGGTCTTGGCTTCCATAACTTGATCAGTGGCTGACTGATGCTAATCCCTTCTACCACTACCTCCTTGCTTGAAAAGGTTCCTGACCTTGTAGTGTCACCTCCAGCCTTTCTATTCCTATCTATCCTCCATCTACTGAAAACAGTAGATAAACTTAGAAAAGATCTTATTTTAGTTATGCTGCTAATCCTTCATTCCATCCCGCTGACATAAAATACTTATTGCTCAAGCTAGTAACCTTCCTCCTAACTGTAACTGATGTAGTATCTGAGTGCATGTTCCACAAGACGTGGGTTCAGGAGCCTGCATCCCCATCAGACCAAAAGTTCCTAGAGGGTAGTGGTGTACTTATTTTTATCAATATTCTCAAGTTCTCTTAAAGTCACAACACTCAAAAAATATTTTCTATGAAGTGTAAAGTGTGAACAATGACAAGCACCACCACGCTCTGAAATCTTTTGTGTTTAACCACCATGCTGTAGGCTCAAAGGTGTGTGTGTTTTTTTTTTTTAAGATTTATTGATTTATGCATACAAGAACTGGGGTACAGGCCAGAGGTGCGGGGCTGGGTGTAGGAGGCGGTGAGAGGATTCACCAAAGAGAATGGAGAGCAGAACAGGCAGATTGACTGAAATACACTGCTGAGGGGAGCAGCCGGCAAGTCAGGAGAGGTCTGCCACGCCATGTGGGTCACCTCCCTGGCCGGGGATCGAACTCATGCTACAGTGGCTGTGATAGCTTCACAGTGTTGTGCTTTAAGCTGTTGAGCCATCAGGGAGGGCCCTGAAGCGTGTATACTTTACAATGCTGAGGTGGGTACTGTAACCACCACCGTTTTACAGAAAAGGAAATGGAGTGAGTGGAGTACAGTTAATGGGTTCAACGGCTCCAACCACTGGGGACAAGACAGAATTTTACTTTTTTCACTCAAAAAGCACAGAGCGACAATGCACGCTCCAAGACGAGCAGTGTAAGGTACCAGAGGCTAATCTCAAATAAGAGCACAGGAGCAAAGACACAAGAGAACGGCCCATGCGTGCAGGAGGCCTCCCGGTCGCAGGCGGAGCCATAGGGAGCCTGCGCCCCGTCCTGCTCCCGCCAGGCCTCGCGAGCTTCCGGGCCGCCTTTCCGGACTAGGTGGCGCGCGTGATGATGACGAAAGCGGAAGTGCTGCGGCCAGAGGCGGGACGAGGGCCCGGAGGGGCTCGGGATTGCGGAAGTTTTGTGAGGAGGGTCGGGCGGCTCCAGGACCGTAGTGTTGTTTTGGAACACATCCCGGGAGGGAAGTCGCCGCGCGGGGTCCGTGAGCCCCAATCAGCGCACGTTTGGGGCAACCCCGCTGCCACCAACGTCGATCCTCTCGCTTCGTTCCTCCCGGAGGGAACTGCCTTGGATCTCCGCCATGGCATCCACCTCATCCAACCTGCAGGTACGGGCCTCTCCCCCTGCCCCTAAGAGCCGAGCTCGAGCCCAGGGGGAGGCGCGGGCAGAGCGGGGGGACCGGGAGGAGGGCGGAGGAAGCGGCCGCGCCCAGGGTTGCGGGGCTGGGAGGGTGGCGCCCGCGCCGAGCGCAGGTGGGAGGGTCCGGCGCCTCGCGCCCGCTTCCGGGGTCCCCGAGCTGACGGGCTTTGTGAGGCTCCTGACTTGTTGAGGCTCCCCCCCCGACCCCCCCAATCCAGCCAGGTTTAACAGCCGAACTGGGCAGGAGACCGAACGAGAAGCGCTGGCGCTCGGATCAGTGTAGGGAAGAGAGGAAGAACGTGATGTTGGCCAAGCCCGGCCCTCGGTCGGGTTGGAATTGGTGGTTCTAGGTCGCCCGGTGTCTCAAGCGTGTAGAGCGGGCGCATTTTCGAGCTCTCAGTGACCAGAACCGTGGGGACCGTCTTGGAATCTGAAGAAGCCATTGATCATACACGTTTGCGCGCCCTGTCCTCTGGACCCCAAAATGTAGCCTGTAGTAAGATCAGCGAGTATTAACCTCTGTGCCTCCACCTCCCCTTCCGACCGCTCTGAACGTACGTTGTGTGTGAGTTATGGAATCCTAAGATTTTAGGCCGAAATCGGTGGAATGGAATTTATGGAGAAGGGAGATTTCTAAAACATTTGTCTCCCATCCCCGGGATGGATCTGGGGCTTTAGTAATGAGACTTTACCTCGGAGTCGCTCATTCCAGTCGGTCATTTTGGGACAGAATAGTTAGTACAAGAAATATCTGCATTGTCCCCTTGTGACCATAATTACTACTTTGACTTACTTCCTAGAGTAAAGATTTAAACGTGTTCATTTGTATTTGTTTTTACACCAAGAAATTGCAAGATTGCATTCTTTGTCAAGACTTTGTAACTTGGACTTTCTACAGTATGACTTGAGTATATCTACTGATACCATTCTTCATTGACAAGATTTGCATTTAAATCTTGTAATCAGTTTTCATTGTATTTCATGTGGATTACTGTGTGTTCTTCAGCAGATTGGCGAGGTGTGACACAAAGGCATAGTTGCTAGTTGTAAGCTGTGTTATTTTATTACTGCTTTGTTCACATTGTGCTTTCTCATTTAAACTTTTCAACCTTCTATCCCAGGAAAATTGGGTGAACAGTGCTCAAATAACTTACACACCGAGTGAGGCAAAAATTCTCATAGCAAAATGCATGTAATCTAATGGAGGAAAACACATAACTAAAGGTCAGAGTCACAGAGTAATGGATAAATAACAGTGTCGTGTGGGAAGACGGAGAGGAAAGGTCTAAGTAGTTCTTCAAGGGACAAATGAGAAATCCACAGGAGAGGCCACGTGAGCTTAGCTAAAGTGAACGACGCTAACACTTACTGTCTGCCTGGTGTTTGGTGTGATCTCATTAATTTGCAGAACAGCTCTTCAAGGGAAGAAACTGAAGCTTAGTAAGGTTATGCCTTGAAATAGTTAATCAGCACTGAAGATAGTTTTGAACCCAGGTCTGACTGCTTACAAGTTTGTGCTGATTCTCTCTACAGCATTGTGCCTCCTTGCAGAGTGGGGTGCATGTTGCAGGGAGAGCAATACAACATGAGCCTCAGTCTAGAAGTAGAATAAAACCTTGGCAAGGCTTGGGAGAAGTTGCAAGGGATGCAGTGCACTAAAGACAAAGCTAATTCAGTCTTAAATGTTTTGATTGCCTTCTATGTTGTGGATTTTCCGAGTTTTTGGAAGTCCATTTCTGATGTAAAATGGATTTACGGAATGACCAATAGTATCGGTGTGGTGGTTGCAGTTGTCATAAGTAGCAGAAGCCATCTAGAGGAAGCAAAGGCTCATCCACTCTGGGGTAGTGGGAAGGCCAGGTGACTGTGCCGAGCTTCAGAGAAGCTGGAGTTTGCCAAGGGAGTCAGTGGGTCAGGGCTCTCTAGGTGGCAAGGGCTGGTCTGCAGATACACGCAGGCTGAGTCATGCAGGTTGTCCCAGTAGTTTGGAATGACTGACATAGGGTGTGGGAGGACACGGCTGGTGAGGTCATATCACGTGGTGCTGTGTGTGACACACACCGGTGATTGACCCCATCCTGCCAGAGGTGGGAAGTTGTAGAAGGCAACATGCCTGGGTTTTTGGTTTAAAACAGAGCAGTCCTGTGTGTCTCGGGAAGCCCGGAAGCAGGGAGACCCATTAGGCCAGGCTCTTTGATGGGAGATGGCGAGGGCCAAAGCAGGACAGTACCTCTTAGGTAGTGAAGAGGAAAGGGTCATGGGAGACAAAGTGGAAGAACAATCAGACTTGGCGCTTCATTTAGACAGGGAGGAAGGGGGAGTCTGGGCTTGCTCCCAGATTCCTGGATTTCATATCCGAAGGGGTAGGAATTGCTTTTGGGGTTACAGAATGTGGGACATATTTGGGGCCAGGATAGAAAGGAATTTTTTTAATTTGAAATACCTGTGGCGACAATTCAGTGACAGTGGTTGGATGCATACTGCCACTGAACTCAAGAGAGCACTAGGCTAGAAACGGGGATTTAGGAACTATGAGCATGTCGATGATAGCAGAGGTGGTGGGCATCTTGGAGAGTCTCTAGAGTGTGAGAAAAGTAAAAATCAACGTAGAAACCCATTGAATATCTGCATTTACAGAGTGAGAAAAGGACACCTGCAAAGTAATTATGACACAGTCAAGGGACTGAAGCAGAGGAGGAGGCTGTGTCAAGATATTTGTTAATTAGAGTTAAGCACTGCCAAGACCAAGCTAGTAAGTGCAAGATTTGGCCGTCTGGGAGCAGAAAGCGCAAGACAAAGCTGGGGTTCTCTTTGAGAATGAGGGAAGGAAGAGGTAGTTAGAGGGGAACCCAGACTGGGGCAGAGCTAGTGTGTTTTAGTTTGGGTTTTGTAGAGATGAGTCTAAGTGGGACTTGCACACTTTTCTTTTTTTGAAGATTTATTTTATTTATTTATGCATACAGGAGTTGGGGTATAGGCCAGAGGTACAGGAGTCGGGGGTGAGAAGATTCACTAGAGACAGTGGGTAGCAGAACAGGTGGATTTACTGAAGCATCCTGCTGAGGGGAGCAGGTGAGTCAGAAGAGGTCTGCTGTGGGTCCCTCCCCAGCTGGGGCCGAGCTTGTGCTGCAGTGGCTGCAGATAGCTTCACAGTGCTGAGACTTCATCCCTGTACCACCAGGGAGGCTGGACTTGCGTACAACTTTATGCCAAGGGCGGAGCTAGTATAAACGAGAAAGTTTAGTTCTATGGAAACTAGAATAGCATTTAGTTCATGGAGTTGTGTCGGAGGAAGAAAGCGGGGATGCACTCCAGAGCGAGGGAGAAGAATTTGCCTTGACTAGCAGGAGCCAGGACATCTTTTCTCCTGAGATAGATGATTTTGGAATTTACCCAGTTTCTGAGGATTTTCTAGTATGGCAGACTCTTCTCCGGAAGGCACAGCCCACTCAGTCCCTGCTTTCACACTTGCGCGTTGACAAGTGTCTGCCTGCCTGACCCTGGGGTAAAATAAGTTCCTTCAGCATGTGCCAGCTGCTGTGCCAGACTCTGGAATATAAACACACCTAACTCCTGTCCTCGTGGGGCGGGTAGTCTAGGGAGAGGATGGGAAAAGCCAAGCCAGACCCCCCCAAAGGCAGAGAAGCACACTACTGGAAGGATTTTAAACCAGTCTTTTGCTGACGTGTGGCTTGCAGGTATCTCCCCCAGTCTGTAACGCAGCATTTCACCCTTTCAATGGGAATTTTTTTTTTATTAAAAAGTTTATTTTTACATCATTTTGCACATTTTTTTTTTCATCTCAATTGTAATCCCCACGGGTTTCCCATCACCAAATCACCCCTGTGCCACCACCATAGTCCCGTGCATTTCTCAATGGGAATTTTTTAACGGAACACATTTTAGGTACAATTTTTCAGTGGACCATTTTTTTCCAGTCTAAGAATAAGAACTTTGACTACCCCTAGCCACTAAAGTTTTTCTATCTCTTCTGAAGACTTTATAGTTTTACATTTTATATTCAAGGCATGATCGCTCATAGTTTGAGTTGATTTTGGTACAATGTATGAAGTTTAAGTCCGGGTTCTTCGCCGCCTCCATCTGTCTGTTCACCTGCTCCGCAGTCTTTCCTTAGAAAGCCCAACCTGCCACCCCTGCTCTCGCGTCTCTGTCAAACAGAAGCTGGACATAATTCTGTGGATCTCTCAATGGGAGTTTTTTGTTTTGTTTTTTAATAGTAAAAAGGTAATTAGTTATAATCATTTTTAGAAGTTTTGAAAATAAGAAGATAAATCTTACTAAAGATAACAAATTTCCTCTCCACCTTCCTGCACTTGGGGGCAGGAGTTGTGACAGATAGTTGGACTCAAACTTTAAGTATTGCTTTTTAAAAACTTACATTAGAAACATGTTCCATGTTGTTTAGCTGTTTCTTAATACTGCTTCAATGACCCCTTGATCTATTTAGTGGCTGTCTAAAATGTAAGTTTTTAAAGGTTTCGTTTGGATGTTTAAAAGACCTCTCTGGTACTGTCTTTGCTGAGTAAACCTTTTAGCTAATTATTAGCTTAAGGATTTGGGTATTTCTGAGACTTTTGATATTTGAATGCCCCATTGCTTCTGAAGAGGTCTTACCCTTTGCGTGTTATTTGAGGATTTTCCTAATGCTTTTTTTTTTTTTTAGTTTTTTGTTTTTAATTTTATAATAATTTATTTTTACATATTTTTGTGCATTTTTCCATCTCAGTTGTAATCCCCTTGGGTTTCCCATCACCAAATCACTCATGCGCCCTCACCATAGTCCAGTGCATTTCTCTCCCCCCGTTGTTGATTTGCCTAATGCTTTTTTTTTTTTAAAGATTTATTTATTTCTGCATACAGAACTGGGGTACAGGCCAGAGGTGCAGGGGCGGCGAGAGGCTTCACCAGAGACAGAGTGGGGAGCAGAACAGGCAGATCAACGAAGTATACTGCTGAGGGGAGCAGTGGGCGGGTCAGGAGAGGTCTGCCACGCCATGTGGTCTCCTCCGGGGCAGGCAGGAATCAAACTCATGCGGAAGTGGCTTTAGCTTCTCAGTGCTGTGCTTTAACCCACTGCGCCACCAGGGAGGGCCCTGCCTAATGCTTTTAACGTGAATTTCCAGATTATTAGATTGTCCCTTACTAGGCCTACATTTACCTTTCCTTAGGTGAAATTATGTGAGAATCTTAGTGATTGGTACCACATGAGATGGTATTCAGATAGCATTTGTCCATATAATAAATTAATATAGTTTATAGTTATTTATAGTGGAATGCATTTGTGGTGTAGGAGGAAAGATTGATTTGTTTTTTAAGATTGTTTTTAGGAATTTCTCTTCAGTGTGATTATTTACTTGAAACTCATGCTTTGATTAATGGTGTGGTTTCTGTGACTCTTTAAACAGAAAGCAATAGACATTGCAAGCAAAGCAGCCCAGGAAGACAAAGCTGGGAACTATGAAGAAGCTCTTCAACTCTACCAGCACGCTGTACAGTATTTCCTCCACGTAGTTAAATGTAAGGTCATTGTTTGTTTTTTATTTAAAAGCACGAAAAGCAAAAATTCTGTGTCATTCAGAAAAATTAAAATATAATGCCAGAAATTTTTAAGCCATCGATTTGCAAAGAAAAATCTGCTAACTTTCTAGTATTCAACTGTGCAAGTTTAAGGTACTCAGTTAACAGATTTACGCAGGCATCAGTTATTACTTCGTGTAACATAACAAAACATATTAAAACGTCATATAGTAGATGGAAATAATGTTTTTGTTGGCACTGTACCCAGGCTGTGTAATCTGAATCTACTGATTTTTTAATCATCTGTTTGAAACTATTTTTGAAATAATGGGCTGGGAGACATCTTACTCACTTGTTTCCTAAATACCTGTCACTTACTATGTGCCAGCCACTGTTCCAGGCCCTGGGGGTACAGCGGGGGAAAGAATGATAACAACTCTGCTGTCTTCATGGACCTTAACTAGTGCTAAACACACACGATAGAACACATTTTAAAAGATGTCTTTCTGGTAAGATTAAGAGTTGTGTTTAGATAAAAATTTTAATAATTGGATAATTTAGAATGTTCTTTGGCGATTCCCTTATTAGTTTGAGGCTTTTCTGTTAACGGCTTTAACACTAAATGCGGATGTGTCTCATCACACACCCCACGTATGGCCACTTCTGACAGTCGCAGAATCGCTGCGTTGGGCCACGTGCTGTGTGGGATCTCCATTGCTGTATCTGGAAATAAAGCTTAGGGAGACACAACTGGAAATGTTTTCATTACTAAAAGCATTCATTAACTGATACTAACTAATAAAACATTGATAGTGCATTATTTTTGTTTGTCTTACTGGTTTTATGTCAGACATGGAGTTACTCTGGTAACACCAGTGTAAGGAAAGAATCTGAACCCACAGAATGTTAAATTTCTTTCTATATTATTCAGCGTTAACTTGGAATATCCTGCTGATGTGTTCAGATCTCTCTGACTTAAACACACTGCTGACCTCCCAGCTGGCTGAAAGGGGTAGAACAGAATTGGTCATCATTGAAGATGATCTGCTGTTCCCCCAAATAGATTTTCCTTATTTAAAAAACATACTTAAGAGTTTAAACTTTTCAGTAGAGATGACTAATGAGAAAAATCTCATTTCCCTTAAATAGATGAAGCACAGGGTGATAAAGCCAAACAAAGTATCAGAGCAAAGTGTACAGAGTATCTTGATAGAGCAGAAAAACTGAAGGAGTACCTGAAAAAGAAAGAGAAAAGACCGCAGAAGCCAGTAAAAGAGGGACAGCCAAGCCCAGCTGATGAGAAGGGGTACGTATTCCCCCGCGATGTTCCATTTTACTGTATTGTTTAAATTGTGAAATATGTTTTGTTTAAGCCATATGCTGGCAAATCATAGGTCAGATCTGTTGCCTGTCTTTGTTAATGAGGCGCGCTCGGCACGGAGCCCCATGTTCGTATACCTGTGATGGCCACTCATGGTCAGTCCTGGCTGTGTCTGCTACACCGGCAGGCGGAGTTGAGGCTGTCAGAGAGGCCCGTGGCCCACAAAACCCGAACTATCTACTGTTTGGTCCTTTACAATAAAAGTTTGCCAGCCCCTAAGTTTACCAAGCTTAGGTTATAATGGACCTCAGATAATCCCTCCCTGGCTGCCTGTACTGGTTGGGGAGAATGTAGGCCTGATTGATACTCCGCTTCTAATCGTGGGTTTCACTCAGCCACTGCTACCAGGTGGACGAAACGAGAAATAACTGTACAATATAAATAAGTTTTGAATATCTTAGTTTTTCTTGATGTGAATTCGAATTAAACATGCTTTGTCACTCTAAAGGGTAGTTCATAAGCGTGCCCTCCCCCTGGTTTTTTGTTTGCTTTTTCAGTTTTTTTATGTTGCTTTTATCTATCTACTGGGGGTTCCCAGTAGTACTGTTATTTAGGGTTATGGGTTCACACCTCCTTACACCACCCCCACCGTCAGAGTCCTTTCCCCAAGGCCACTGGGCAGCTCCCCTGTGCTCCCCCTTCCACCTTCTGCCTCAGTTCCACATCATATTTCCCCCTCTAGCTGCCTCAGTTCCACATCATATTTCTGGGGCTTGTTTTCGGTTTCATTTTTGTCAGTTCGTTCAGAAAAAAACCATTTAGGTGGGTGCTATGTTGCTTGCAGATTGTTTGGTAGGGACCTAACCTGCTAAGCACGTCTGATGCCAGGGCGTGGGCAGTCGCACCATGGCACTCGTGCAGAGTTCCCCTCAGGTGCAGCTCTGCCTACCTGGAGGAACTTCCGTCTCGTGAGTCCTGCTGCAGGCGCACCTTGGCAGGGCAGAGCTGACCAACCCGGCCCTCACGGTACACGCGCCATTTAGGGGAGCCCGGTCTGTGGCAGGCCCATCGCCCCGCCCCTCTGCTGAGATAACCAAGGACACTCACCTGAGGTAGACCTGTCAGGCGCTTACCCTTCAGGTCCTTTTTTTTTTTTTTAAATAATAGCATGCTATATTTTTGCTCTCTTTTCTATTCAACACTGATTGTGAACATCCAGTAAACTACTTCTGCAACATCATTTTTAAATTGCAGTATATTCTATCACATGCTAGTCCCTATAATTGAAAATACATTATTTCTAATTTTTTACCTTTTACGTACAGTATGGGAATGGTGATCCTTACAGTCAAATCCTTGAACTTGTTTTAAACTGTTTCCTCAGGATAAATTCCTAGATGTGAAACATGGGCTTGTCTGCTCATCCTTTGGCCTCAGTTGATTTTCATCAGAAGCTCCATCCAGCTTTTGGAACCTCCAGATTAAGATTCTAGAACTCTGTACCTTTAGTAATTAAGAGTCTGCATTTTTTCCTCCTAGCTACCACTTCTTATTCTGATGTATAGTTCACCTGGTCCTGATGCGTTTCTTTTTTTACAATTTTCCTGTAATTCATTTTAAATCTTGGGGCTGCACTATGGGGCCGGTATTTATAAATCAGTCCCTACATGGGCACAGGGCTTTGGTGCTGCTTCCTGCCCTTGGCTCTGTTCTGTTGGCCCCTTTCCTGTTCATGAGTCCATTTTAAGGGATAATGTGTCTGTTATTTTATTTAACATATTCTTAAAAGTAATGAAAGGAGCATAACTTAATGTCAGTATCTTATTTTGCTGCTTAAACTACGAATATTTCAGGTTAAGCTCTTCATTTTATCTTATTTTGGTAGCAGTGAATGGTCTTTGATTATATTAAATTCTTTTTACTAGGAATGACAGTGATGGGGAAGGAGAATCTGATGATCCTGAAAAAAAGAAACTACAGAATCAACTTCAAGGTTACGTTAGATTCCCTTTTTAAATTTATTGTCTTATTTAAAAAAAAACAATTCACAGTGAGTTTATTGAACTGTTTTTCATCCGCTGGCTTGGGTTCCTATGTCGCACACAGCTCTGCCCATGCCCCTTGCCTGGGATTGGCTCTCTGGGGCCCCTGGTGGGGGTTGTCACATAATAAACACAGTATTTAATTTTATATCTCCCTGTAAAGACCTGTCAGTCAACTCAGGCAGTTTCTCTTTTCTTACTTGCTCCCTTTTGGAAAAGGTAGCATTTGTATTGGCAGCACCCTACAAAACCTGACAGTATCAAATTTTCTGTCAGGGGAGGAGAGTGAGTTTGGGTTCCCACCTGGCTTTGATTGTCAGCGCGATAGCTAATTCGTTGATTTTTTTTTATTTATTTATTTCCTGTTTCCTGCCTGTTTGTCATTAGCTTTCTTGTTCTGTTTCAGTGTGGCCAGTGACCTTTACCACTCAGCCCCGTTACCTTCCAAACCTTCCTTCTCTGCTGCTGTCCCATCGCGGCTTGGTGGTGAGGGCACTGCTCCCTAAAAGCTGTAATTTTGGGCGAGTTCCCTAACCTGAGTCTGAGACTCTAGCTTTAAGATGCAAAGTGCTAATACTTGCCGTCAGGGAATATTAAAAGATCAGTGACAGCAAAAACTCCCTAGTACCCTGTCTGGACAGAGTACCGGCGCAGTGAATGCCGTGTCTGAAAGGCATCTTCCTGGCTCTTCCGTGCTGACTTCCGTTACTGAGATTTACTTTTCTTTGGCATTTTAGCTAGTGATTGTTTAGCTGAATTCTATGCTCAGTGGTATGTGCTTTCTTTATGCGAGTCTTAGCCAAACAGAATGTGTAGCTGGGAAGAATCTCCTCCGCACAGACTGAGCGTTGTCAGAGAGTGGTGACTGATCTGGCTCGGCGGGCCTTTAGCCTCGTGCTCGTCTCTGCGTTGGGCAGTGTGTGAATGCTGTGCAGGTGGCATCTTGACTAATAACCTGCTTAATGAGGATATTTTTATTTGCTGAGAACTTCAGCTGCCCCTGAGGGTTCCCTGCAGCTCCCCACTTTCGGAGCAGTGGACACACACTAGTATCAACGCAGTGGGCCTTGCCAAGTGGCCTTATTTTAGTTGTAAGACAAACAGCTTTTTTCTGTGTGGACTTTGGTTTGGGTTTTCCTCCCCTTATGTCTCAACCCTCCCCACCAAAGTAAAAACTGGGTTACATCTTTAATTTTAAAAAAGTTATAACTGATTCTACTAGGTTTTTTTTTTACCCTTTAAATTCCTTGTCTTTATAAGGACCAGAAATGCATAAAAATACAGATGCTTAAGTGAGGAAGGTTACAGGGATTTGGGGGTGAAACAGAACATGAACGCCTTCCTTAATTACCTGAGAGGGCTCCCCCCATTTTTTGGTTGATGGTTTACTAATTGGTTTTATTGTAGCATATCTTTCTTTGAATCTTTATTCTTTTTTCATGGAATAAAACTCTTTCACTTCTGTTAGAGCCTATTAAATACAATATTTAATTACTGAAATCACAAAAACTTTTTCTTTTGACTACTTTTAACATTTTAGTGGCTGAGGTTAAAACACATTAATATAACAAATAGTATCATCAAAGACTAAATTTTATATAATTGGAAACAATCAAATAGTTTGACTTACTTTCTAATAATCTTGCTCCCTTTTTAATTGTATAAACCACTAAGCAATGTTTAGTAATTAATCCAAATAATCTTTTATTACTGAATATTCCAAAGTCACCTTAAAGAGAAAAGTATTAGTTAAATATGAAGAAAAAATATGGAATATTTTCAAAATTTGTAGCAAAAAAAATACTAAGTTGACAAGATGGTGCTTATACAGAAATTATTTTTATTTAGCTAACACAAAATACTGTCGGATGATCTGTTGTCTCATGTACTAGTAACCCGAGTGGAACATAGAAAAGAAAAAGTTGAATTGATCTTTTTCTTAATTTTTAGACTGCAAAAAGTGGTTATGGTTTCATTTAATACTAATCTGTAGCTAAAGTTACATTTGGCAGGTCTCAGCCAAGTATCACAGAAATGCGCCAGCACGCATTTTCCCTCTCTTCTCCATCTTTCCCTTCCCTTCTGTTTCTTCCTCTCCCCTCCCTTCTCACTTTTGTCTTTCCATTTGTGTGTATCTCTGTCTGCCTTCAGTTAAGAGTGTTTGTTTTCCTTATGATTATAGAGAGCATTAAACCACCATATCTTTTGTTTACAAGAAGAAATAATTAGTTAGTCCCCATCGAACAGGTGCTTTTGACCCTCCAGAATCAGTGTACTCTCACACTCTACCGACTTGAGTGATGCCTGCTGCTCTTCCAAGCTCTCGTGCTTGCTTTGTCAATTGACCTTTCACGAAGCCGTAGTTTGGATAGATGGTGGTAATTTCATTTCACAGTGAGAAGTGGAATAGAACACTGCGTGGCTTACCCTCCCTTTCTGACCACCCACCTCAGGTTTGACTCCTGACTCCTCCCTGGCAACTATTCCCTCATTCCAAGGTTTTTAAACATTTCCAGACAGTTCTGTAGTATATTTCCTTAGCATCCGTGTTTCCTATTTTCTGCTCAATGGGATGGAATAGTCTTCCGTAATTTAAAGGTAGCGTGATTTTTTGTAGGTGCCATTGTTATAGAGCGACCAAATGTGAAATGGAGCGATGTTGCTGGCCTTGAAGGAGCCAAGGAAGCCCTTAAAGAAGCTGTAATATTGCCTATTAAATTTCCTCACCTTTTTACAGGTGAGATGACTTTTACATCTTTTTATAAGTTTTTTATTTATTTAAATTTTCTCAAAACTGCACAGATGATTGGGGTAAAGTGTTGTGAATTCTTGTCACTGTATCACAGGTTAATTCCTTAAAGAAATCCTAAAGTGGTATAAAGGTCTTTATTCTGTATACAAGTACATGTTTTAAGAGAAATATGTTGCAGGGCAGCTTAAATACCAACCAGTGAGCAGAGGGTAAGTCACCAACACGCAGAGTACTGTGTGCTAAGGGAAGTTATTTACATCAACATTGAGAAATTTGCATCTGTGTTGCAGCTGACATGAAAAAATACCTATTTGTAAGGATCAAAAAAATAAGTATATATACATATAAAATCTGTTTAGTATGATCCCATACTTGTTAAATAAGTGTGTGTGCTAAGAAATATGTACTAACATTAAAATGTTAAGACTGCCAAGGAGATAAGATTTCTAGTGATTTTTACTTTTTGACTTTCATCAGACTTTTCCAGTGGGCTTATACTGATCTTTCAAAAAAAAAAAGGAGTAGGAATTATTTAGCGCTTTTAATGACAGCTCCGCAGCCGTAGGTGATTTGTCTGTGCCCAGTCATGTACACGGTATTTTTTGTGACAGAGCCTTGTGATACTGCTTTACCCACCAGCTAGTTGTGAAACCGAAATCCTTTTAACCTCAAACTTAGCAGTCCCAACTGTGATGTCATGCAGAGAAGTGGAGAAAAGCAGATACCCGGGGCCATGCATTGGCCATCCGGCTTTGAGAAAAGACCCACAAGTGAGCTAAATTCAGCAATTTGAAACAACAGTGTACAAGTTGATATCACAACCCTATAAATGTACAGATACAGTTGAGCTCATATTATGTTATATAATTTATGTGACTGGTTCCCGAATGTCATTTTTGTAACATCTTTATGAGATTTTTCTATGTATTTATGTCAACCTATAAACACCATTATTTTAAAAATATTTCTCTTTATTCCCCTTCAGAGCAAAGTTTTTATTACAATGTAACATAAGTATACAGAGATGCACAGGAGTCCATAAATGTTCAAGGTCATAAATTATCACAAAGTAGGCCTGTGTAATAAACACCAAATCAAACACTATAGCCAGTAACCAAGAAGTTCCTCTCTGCCTCTCAGGCAAGCAACTTCTTAACTCCTAACACTATAGATTGCTTTGCTTCTTTTTATTAAATTTCAAATGCTCTCACTTAGTATTTTCACTTAGTAACGTCTTCTTAAAAGACTGATGTGTCTAAAAATGGAAAAGTTAGTGTTCTTGTAATGCACATAAAAATTATTTAACGAAAAGTTACTTATACATATCACCTAGAAAGCACTTCATATGCCACTGTGATATGTGTACCACACTTAACAGAAACACTGACTCATAATTACAGACATTCAAACTATGAAATGATTTCAGTAGAAGCTGAAGCTTGCATGGCAGTAAATACACAATATTTGTTGTTTCCATCCCTCATCTACTTCTGCAGTCATTGTCTATTCAACCACAGTCTGTACTAAGCAATTTTTTTTACATTATATTTGATATCTTATTGCCAGTTTCACCCAGTCAGGTTTAGTTAAGGCAGCATTAGAATGTCTCAGGACAAAATTGAGAGTTGATTTTTTTCCTTGTAACACTTTTGCAAGATTGGGGTTCAGGTTAGAATCTCCTTGAATGACTGGGCAGCTGGTCATGAATGTGCTCCCTGTCAAAACAGGCTACACCTCCTTGGTGGTCAGGAACTGAATAGAACTCCAATCTGTCGGTTTCACTCCTACCCATGTCACAGATACTTAAAAGAAGATTTTTGCATAGTTTCTCTGATAAGATTCTGATAGCAAATGTGAGCCCTTCCTGGCAGTGCAGTGGGTTGGAGCCCATTGCTATGAAGCTAGCTGCAGCAGCCGCTTCAACACGAGTTCAATCCCCAGCCAGGGGGCTGACCCACATGGTGCTGCAGCAGCCTTCTTCTGACCAGCCTGCTGCTCCCCTCAGCAATGTGTTTCAGCCCACCTACCTGTTCTACTCCCCACTCTGTCTCTGGTGAATCCTCTCACCACCACTGCACTTCTGGCCTGTACCCCAGTTCTACATACATACATACATAAATCTTTAAGAAAAAATAGATTCTGATAGCAAGCAGTGCACACAGTACTTGGTCAGGAAGTGCCTTTTAACCGAACCAACTGAGCCCACAGGGGACAGAATTCCTTTTGTATTTATGGGTCTCTTTCTGTACTTGTGGTTTTGATACATATTGATTGAGTGAAGATGTGAGCAATCAAGATAATCTGTGTTAGAAGGATTCTATCGATATAAACACACTTTTGACAAAGTTATCTTTAAAATACTACCTTAGGTTGATTTTCTAAATTATTTTTTTATTATAGTCATAGCTTTAGAATGAAAACCACTTTACAGTATTCTTTGTTAAGAATGATGTCTCTGTTCATTGAAATTAACCATCTTGAAGTTCTCAGGTTATTTTTCTCAATACACATTTTAGGTAAGAGAACACCTTGGAGGGGAATCCTGTTATTTGGGCCACCTGGAACAGGAAAATCGTATTTAGCCAAAGCTGTAGCAACAGAAGCAAACAACTCAACATTTTTTTCAATATCTTCCTCTGACCTTGTCTCTAAGTGGCTAGGTGAAAGTGAAAAGTAAGTAGTACATTAATTATACTTTTTAAATTTTACTCTCCCTGATAGCTACTATACCAACCTTTAATAGCCATACAGAGAAGTAATAATAGGTATTCATTTCAGTCAAATCGGACCCTAATTTAGAATTTGTTTCACAGGGAAAAGAGAACATATATGTACAGTAAGTTGCAAAATAAATTGCCCAGTTTTAGCTGTCTTCCTTTTTAGACCAAAACATGATTAAATGATTAAATTTTTTTTGACTTACAGAGTTTCTATAATATTGGTATGTTATTTTGTTTCAGTCTCTCACTAAGTCACATGTCATTTACCTTTCTTTTTTCTTTGAGAAACTGAAAGCTTTTACTTATTTTCTAGGCTAGTTAAGAATTTATTCCAACTTGCCAGAGAGAACAAACCTTCCATTATCTTTATTGATGAAATCGATTCTCTGTGTGGTTCAAGAAGTGAAAATGAAAGTGAAGCAGCACGTAGAATTAAGACAGAGTTTCTTGTTCAAATGCAAGGTAGTATTCTGGTTTTTAAATTAGTTCTTGTTTATCTTAAATATTTTTACAACAATAGTGGGGAAATTCTTTAGCCTCAGTGTTTCATCGTACCTGATTGCATTCTCACTGTCTTTCATGTGCATCATAATTTTAATCTAGTTATAATCATTTTGTAGAACTTACTGATTTAAATAGCAAAGAGATTCATGACTTACAGAATACCAGGGACAACAATAGTAAGAATGTATAGCCTTTGAATGAAATCTTTCAGGAAATATTTGGAAAATTATTATTAATCTTTGAATTTGACAAAGATATCTTTAAAAATACTACCTTAAATTGATTTTCTAAATTATTTTTATTCTGGGGGTTATTTGCATCATAATTGAGTAATAGGATAGTTGATTCAGTAGTTTATGTCCCATGGGGACTCTTTAGATGAGATATTTTAACATTAAAACACCATATTTTTAATATGCAGATGAGGTTTAAAGAAGTTTAAAATGACAGAATACTTAAAGTATCAATATTTTAATGCAGGGGTTGGTGTGGACAATGATGGAATTTTGGTTCTGGGAGCTACAAATATACCCTGGGTTCTGGATTCTGCCATTAGGCGAAGGTATGATGATATAGTAAATATCTTATTTCTAATGACAGATGCTGCAAGAGTCTCGTTCCCTTTTTGTCTAGTGGAGAGATGTTCTAATAGCTTTTCAGGCTTTTATGACCCTCATTCCCCCGGACTTGTGTGAAGCAGGCCAGGCTCTTATCTGTCTGCTCTATAAGATATGAGGCTACTACTTCTGGGCCTATTTCACACTGCATCACCTAAAGCCGCCTAGAGTTATGAGTAAACTTGGTGGTAGGCACTGATGCTTCAGAGTTTTGCATGAATAGTTGAGATCTCAATGAAAACCCTTTCATATAAAATTTTAGCAAAGTGACATTTACAATTTAGAATACAGTAGCTAGGTTACATTTTCAGTTAAGGAATTTATATCTATAATTTTTTAATTTAATATGAAGCATGAGTTGCAGGAGAAGGTAACACTTTCCTCTGTTTCCTCTGCTTCAGAATTCCTTGTTTCATTTCTTTCATCTTACGAGGTAAAAATGAGCTCCCTGCTTTGGCTACTTTTATCCCATTTACTTGATTTGCCAGTGTAGTAGGTTATGTGTCCAGTACCAAGAAAGGAAATGATGTGCTGGTCATTTTTTTTAAATGGCCTAATTCTGAACCCCTAGAGATATAATATTCGTTGCACAGAATTACCTTGAGAAAAAATATATTCACAGGCCCCTTCAGTTGTCCCTGGTTACTCCTCCCTACCTGCAAGTACTGAAATTGTAAGAAGGCCAGCAGAATTCTTCCTGAAAAATAGTGTCTGCTTATGATGTAGTAGAATTATTTGTTCTGCTCTACCCAGCAGAATGTAGCGGACATGTTGTATAATAAATGTATCCATTCTGTAAGATTATACAGTTCTGCATTTAGAGGGCTATTTTTGCCATCTCCTATCTCTTTGTCACTTCTGTGTATCTCTTTATCAACAGAGTATAATTCTATGGGCAGTTACCCATGTAAGAATTCATGTCATGAATCTCAGACATGAAATTTTCAGACAGAAATATCATGGCTGAAATAACCCAAAAGTCAGTGAGAAAGATAAAAAGCCAATCCAGACTAGTTCCCTTGATATTTTGATTGTATTTGTTTTTAGTGTTCTGGAAATTTTCACTTTATTTAACCTAAGCGAATATGTTTACCTTTGATAAATAGGAATTTATTTAACTTACTCAACTTTGTATAAATGAGATTATCTAAATATCTTATTTTCATCTTGAAAACAACCTGACTTTTCAATTGAAATTAAATATATATGATATAAATATAATAAATATATGAAATTAAAAATACATGTATTGCATCCTGGATGCAATTTTTCTTCCATTTGAAGATTTGAGAAACGAATTTATATTCCTTTGCCCGAGGCCCACGCCCGAGCAGCAATGTTTCAGCTGCACTTGGGGACCACTCAGAACAGTCTCACGGAAACAGACTTCCGAGAACTCGGCAAGAAGACGGACGGCTACTCCGGGGCGGACATCAGCGTCATAGTGCGCGACGCGCTCATGCAGCCCGTCAGGAAAGTGCAGTCGGCCACTCACTTCAAAAAGGTGAAGACTTCGGCCTCCTTCCGTGTGTGCTTGGTGCATGTTGCAGCCATCATTGCTGTGCCCCCAGAGACTAGTCTGTTTTCAGTTTTATATGATAAATGGGTTTACATAGTAGATGCCCCTTCCCTTTCATGAAAGCAGGTTTTCCCAGAAAGTTTATTAAGAGCCACTGTTAATCCCAAAGGATGTGATTTGGACCACGCCCCTCACTGAGAACAGCAGTGTCCAGTATCACTCATGAAGGTGGCTGTGAAAATCCTGAAAAACTGCGCAAACCCAATGCAGCAATCTATGGCAAGGTTAACCTATTATAGTTAGTATACCTAGCTATTCCAAAATAAAGGAACTCCCTCCATTCCCTTATATGGAATTATAATGTTATAATTATGATATTGATGGAATTGTTACCTACTTAAGGCTCACTTTTATTATCTCTAAAGTGGAGACCGTAACACTTTTGGAAGTCCTGCTGTGAGAAGAAAATGAAGTCAAGCAGGTCTTCAAATGACACTGTTTTGTTCAACATTTGTTGTGAGCTTGAGGAGGAAGAAAAATCCCAGCCACATGACATGATGTCATTTGAAGACCAACATCTGCTTCTGTTATATGGTGCTTTGCTTAAAGCCAGTTTCCTAGACCCTATTGGGGATGTTGAGTGGGGACTCGCTGGAGCACTCCGAAAACACCCGTCATGGTAGCTCACCAGCGCGGTGCATACCCCTCCCCTCTCTAGCTTGATGGCGAAGGAAAACAGTAGGCTCAGAGTCAGGTTTATGCCATAGCCCTTGTAATTTTTGTTAATTCTCTTTGACATTAGTTGCTATAGATTACTAGAAACTCAGTCCTTTCTGGCCCTTTCTGGTGGCGCAGCAGGTTAGGACACAGCACTGCAAGCTAGCCACAGCCGCTTCAGTGTGAGTTCGATCCCTGCCCCAGAGGTTACTCACATGATGCAGCAGACCTCTTCTGTCTCACCTGCTGCTCCCCGCAGCAGTGTACTTCATCTATCTGCCTGTTCTGCTTCCCATACTGTTTCTGGTGAATCCTCTCACCACCCCTGTTCCTATGGCCTGTACCCCAGTTCTATTTGCATGCATAAATAAATCTTTTTAAAAAATGAAAATTTCAAAATACAGAAAAGCCTCAAGAAAAACAAAACTCTATCCCATGACCCAAAGCTCAAGCTCACTTGTATAACCTTCAGAAGTAAACATTTTAACAAAACATAAAATAGATTTTCCAATTTCCTGATAACAGCCTAAGTCTTCATGCCTGCTTATTTTGTTCAGATAAATATGGCAGATCACTGTATATTCCAGGTTCGGGGCCCATCACAGGCTGACCCTAACAAGATAGTAGACGACCTGCTGACACCCTGCTCTCCTGGTGATGCTGGCGCCATCGAAATGACGTGGATGGATGTCCCTGGGGATAAACTTCTGGAGCCAGTTGTTAGCATGGTCAGACATATTTTCGATTTTAAGAAAAAGTTTGAAACATTATCCTTTGTAATTTGCCAAGCGCAAAATTTTCCATTTATATGGGATTAGCTAGAAGACATATCATCGACATGTTGAATACTAACTACTCAAAAAATTGCAGAGTAATTGAACGTCTTTTTTTTTTCAAATGAAAAAGGTTAATTTGAAAGAGCATATGTAACTTATAACTGGAATAACATTACTAAAATGCTTGCATAGACTGCAGAAAATGTTGTCAAGGCTTAATTTGACCTGGTCAGATTTTTTCCTGAATCTCAGAGACCCTAAATGCATCATGTTAGCATAGTATTCATAATGTTGTTTTTCTGTTTTACTTTTATAGGAAGTTTGAATCATGCTTTGCATGCAGTGCTTTCAAAAAAAGTTCTGAAGCAAAAGTATTACAGTAGAGAGACACAGGTGTTAACTTGACATAATGCTTAATTGAGAAATTATTTGGAAGCCTTTATTTTTGTTTTCATTCTTTGTAATTTTTAAGCTTTGGCCCATTTGACCATTTCCCATACTATTTAATAGAAGACATAGCTTAGAAGGGAACTTTAGAATGAATCCGTAATAAAAACATTTTCTTAGAATTTTGACTTTAATTTTTGCTAAGATAAACATTCTGTTATGTTAATTTTGATCAGTGGTCTTCTGTTTCCCATAAGAATTGGTGGTTAGCTACAGTCTTTTTAAATTGCTTTGTAAAACTGCTCTTGTTTAAGAAAAACAAAGCTGGAAAAGAGATTAGGTACATATTTTTTGGAGAACCTGGTCCTCAGGGTTAGAGGATCATGCTTCTGGCAAGTAGTTGTTACCGCCCAAGGTTGTGGTCAGGCAAGGCGAGCAATTAAAAGTTTTTATGTGTGGAGGAATGTTATGGTCAGACATGTCAGGTATGGTCAGGCATTGCAGGTATTCAGATTTAACCTTTGGCAAAATAGTAACAATAATAGTAGTAGTCGTAGTAGTAATTGCAGCATATTTATTTGATTCTGTTACTAATACACCCCCCTTCTTTCCCTGACAGTCGGATATGTTAAGGTCACTCTCTAGCACAAAACCCACAGTGAATGAACACGACTTGTTGAAATTAAAGAAGTTTACAGAAGATTTTGGCCAAGAAGGCTAAACCAAAGACAACGAGGAAGACATTTACGAGTGTGTTCTTTCTTTCATAGATACTTTTGTTCTTTCTTGGATGATGTTCAGATTATTTTCAGTAAGAACTTTTTTCCACAGGGAAATACAAATCTCACTTCTGCGTTTCTTTTCTATGTACTTTTGCTCCATCACCTATTTAAATGTTCCTATTAACATAAATGATAAAATTATGGGTTGTAAGGAAATGATTTATGAATGCAAACAAATTACCCACTAAAAAGAGGATTGAATTGACTCAGACAAAAGTTTTAAATTGTTATCAGTGGTGGTCTTTGCAAAGAGCGCTTTGTTTTTTTTTTTTTTTCACTAACATGAAATAGGGCTTATTTCATATTTTGAAAAATATTCAAGCATTTTCCTCATCACTGTAGCATTTATTTACTTTGTTATACAATTACAGTAATAGAATATTTATTCTCAGGGATGGGCAATAAAACGCAAAGAGCAATGTGATTGGGCTTGAAAATTGTTGAATAGTGTTCTAGCCACGGCTCTAGTGAGTTCTGATAGGTTGGCATTTTTCTCTGTGTAGATTTAAATAATTTCTTTGAAAGCAGCAAGCTTTTATATTTAAATAGCACCTTTCACTGTGCAATCTCAAGAGAAAGACTTTCTAAATTAGGTGTTGTCTTTTTCTTGAAGAAGAAAATTGTCTATTTCAATGTCTTTTTGTAGCAAGATTGACCAAAACAGGCAGTGGATAAACATGTACTTTTTAAATAACTTCATGAAATACTGTAATAGGAACCTTTGCTAAACGGAACGGCCTCCTTTTGGATTGTGGGACGTTGGTTGTGTGTGATGGGGGGGGGTGTGTGTACATATATATGTATAATTTTTTTGTTAATATAGAATACCAAGGGTCTTGTCTTTTAAGTGCAGGGAACAGTTTGTCTTGGCCACACTCATGTTATCAGTGTAATGCCTCATCAAGCTTTAGAATTGAGCTGATGTCTCTTTAAATAATCACATGCAAACTTGGTATTATGTTATTTTAATATCTCCAAATAAAAAACCTGAGGGTGTGTGTTACACACTTTTACTGTCAACACTAAGTTGTGCCTTGTACCTTTGCATTGGCTATACATGCAAAAGATTGGATGAGGTAGGTTCCTTAATTAGGACAGAGTTCTACCTTGTAAGATGCTATAAAAATAACTTGCATTTTAAAGTGTATTTGCACATTTTACATATTATGCTACATGGTTGCCTTTGGATTTTCTGTACATTATTTTGTTGTTAAATGGAAATCATAGGCCTGAAATATGCTGTTCTTCTGTGAAGTAAATTGATACAACCTACGATTGGCTAAATTCTCTATGTTTGGGGGATGTTTGGGAATATTCTGTATAAGAGGAAATATCTAAGTTGGTGAGATACACAGAAATCATGAGTAATGTACATAAAAATTCTATTTTTGAACAGTTTTTAGTGTGAGGGTTGAGAATTAACTCAGTAAGACAACAGTGAATTCTTTGTGGATGACTATAGTTTTTTCAGCCTCAGACTTACGCAGTATTGCTATTAAGTACGTCATTGAAGAATTACCATAAATACAATTATAGCTGAAACCCAGAAGTTGAGGAAATTATCTGACCAAATAGTATATTACACAGTGTTGATGACAAGTGGAGGCTTTATTTTTTATGTTTTATTTTGTAAAGTAGGGTCTTACTACCTTCTATGCTTATTTTTTTAATAATTTATTTCACATGTAGTTACTTAAGTCCTTAGGAATTAAGATTTTTGGTTTTTTAAGTAACCACATCCCTTTTATAATAAGATCATTTGTATCTGTTCTTGAAGACTTGCTCTGATAAGGCTCTTCTGTGATTGGATGGTGGCGAAGGTCCGGTGTCCGGGATCAGTTTTCAGCAGCCGGCCATCCAGCCAAAGAGCCTGCTGGGCTTGGCTTACGGAGAAGCTCTGTGAATGCTTCGCGCCAAGCCCGGGTTACCTAGGGATCTGAACCCCTGGAGTGGGCTCAGCAGCCACTGGACGGGTTTCTCTCTCTGTTTGCACCACAGTCACTGCTCAGTAGCATGCACCTTGGAGTCTGCCAGCCTCTCCCGTAGCCGTCTGCTGTGACTCCCCAGCTACCAAGCTGGTTTTTCCTCATGAAAGTTCTCTGTGTCCAGCGAGAGTCAGGGCACCTGTGGCTCCGAACCCATGGAAAAGTCTCAATGGGGGCGAAGTGGGTTTCCATGTTGTCCCACATAAATGTTCCTGCAGTGCTAAGCTGTAGTTGTCTGTTCTCCATGGTGAATCCGGATCTGAGAGTAATCTCTTGTGTCTTTGCCAGCGATACCTGATTTGATAATAGCCAGTTTTTCCTATGTGTGACTGAGGTGGGGCGCTGGCAGATCCATTCTGGCTTTTCAGGGTGCAGGTTAAGTTTCTTGCAGTGACATGCAGCCCTCTCAGCACCTGCCCCTCCAGAGCTTCCTTCTCTGCCAGTATTTTTTTTTTTTTTCATTGTTACCGTGTAGGTAGGAGAAACATGCAGTCATTAAGTGATGGGAATCTGTTTACTGATAGCAATATTTCTTTGTTCTTCAAATCCACAATATAAGTTTTCAGGGACGAAATAATCCAATTTAGGAAGGATGTTGACTTCTGAATTTCTTGAGTTTCACAGGTAGGTATTCAATTTTGTGAAAACCATGTAGCCACTTGGGGCCATTTGTGTAGTTAGAACATGGGGAGGCCTGTCTCCCCAATACTGTTGTCATGACTGTCTCAACCTCATTTCAAATGAAGCGACAACATGGCACGGATGTGCTCCCAGCTTACTGTGCTCTCGCGCTCCTTCCTGCCCCCATGCCTTTGTTCACATGCTCTGTGACTCTAACATGGTGTCCTTTCTTCATTCCTCTGCTAGGGAAATTCCATTATTTCCATTAAAAACTAGGTCATGACTGATATGATCACTTCCAGCAAGACTTGTGAAACTACCCCCTCCCACTTTTAGGATCTCTTTAGCACTAACTTGATAACTTGTCTTTGAATATTCCTCCAGCTTTCAAGCATATTCTGTTTGTTCTGTTTACATCAGTTGTAAGCTCATCAAAGAGTTACATTTTCTCTGGCAATTAACATAGTACTAGGTAGTATTAGGTACTTAATAGAAGTATAAAAAATACGGGAGTTAGAGTCTTATTTTTATTAGCCTCCTGGGTTATCTTTGAGGCTGCAATGTACATCATTTGAACTGGGTTTGTTCTTGCTGGTCTAGTGAACTTGTGGTAGGTTTCAGCTTGGTTATGGGGGATCTGCAGTGTGCTCGAGCCAGTCTGAACCTACCTGCACCTCTCCCAGTTGTGTGTGTCCAGTGACCTCATGTAGGCAGCTAAAAATCTGCTCTGGCTGGCGTATTTACAGCACTTAGTAAGAGTTTCTGTTAACTGGGTGCCATAAAATGCAAGGACTGCTGGCTTTTAAAATTTACAAATTAATAGTATCTGCTACATTTACAAAAAGGAGAAAAGTTATCTTTCTGTAAGGATTTTATAAAAAGCATTTGATAAAATCCAGTACCTATTTATGATTTAGTGGGGGGGGGGATAACTAGGAATAGAAGAAAGCTGCTTAGTTTTAATAGCCTATACAAAAAAAAAAACCCACTGTCAAGAACAACATTATGGATTTTTTTTTAAACTAATCCTTTGCAGTCAGGAAAAAGATAAAGGTGTCTATTATCTCCACTCCTTTTCCATTTTCTACAGGAAGTTCCAGCCAGTGCAAAAGTTTAAGGATTAAAAGGGAAGAAACAACAATTGAGATGGAAAAAAAATGTACAAAATGATGTAAAAATAAACTTTTGTAATTAAAAAAAAGCAGAGATATGATTTGATAGTTAAAAAAAAGTTGATGGCAACTTCTCAAAGGTGTTTGTTATTCCAAGCACACTTTGTAAAACAAAAAGCTACTATATCTTTAATAAAAATTATCTGAGAATTAAAAAAAAGGGAAGAAACAAAATTAGCGTTCACATATGTGTTCTCTAGTGTCATATGCAAAAATCCAGAAAAACAAAATCTGAATTTAACATGGCTACATGGTACAATTTTAATAAGTAAAAATTAGTGTATTCCTATATTAGCAACACTTAGAAATTTTTATGAAAACAATATCAATTACAGTATCAGGAAGCATCAGACACTCCAAAGCCCCTGAAGGCAGGACTTGCATATGAAAGGCTGAAACATTTCTAAAAGAAGCTACAGACGCCAGACCGGGCTGACAGACCCAGCCCCAAAATGGCAGTGGTAACAATTGATTGTAGATTTAAAGCAGTCTCTACCCACAGCTGTGTAGTTGATACAAATATATTTAGTAAATAATTATTGGTAACTGAAAAAGTCATACTTCATATCTATTTTCATAACTGTATTTCTCCTAGCTGAGTTCCTCTGTCAGCCATCAGTAATCTCTAGAAATATCTGCATACACATACAAAGAGAAAGCCATCAAATAGTCCTCACCTCATGTTCTTTATGTAACTTGTGGGTAGTGAGACTTGATTGATTTTTCACTCTCGTTACCTCTTTCATCTCCTTCGGGTTTATTTTCAGCTGCCAGCTTTCAGTGTGACTTCCCTATTTAAAATTGTTAACCCTTCTGATGCTCCTACACCTGTCCCCTACTGTATTTTCCTCTGCAGCATTATCGTAGTCTGACTCTTAATTTCCTTGATTTCTTGCTGGTCCTTTTTTCCACTAACGTGTATGCTGCGACAGCTGAGATTGTCATACTTGCTTTGTATGGCATTGTGATCTCCAGTATCTTGAACATTGCCTGGTGCCTGACAGGTGCTCAATAAATACTTGTTAAGTGAGCGACTCTGTATTCTTTCTGAGTTCACACATTGAATGTGTAATTTTGCTCCCTCTCCCCAAATTAATACCCATTTTAAAGGAAGAAGAAACTAAGGAATGTAAAGAAATATACCAAGAAATGAGCAGTGGCTGCATGTGAGTGACAGAAATAGTAATACTTGTTCTTTACTTATTCCTTTATGTTTTCCATCTTTATGTATTTTTTTCTGATTTCTGGAAAGTAAATAGAAAACAAATTTGAAGCTGGGTCACAATTCATCTATGATCATTGGCAGATGTCTCTTCCTCTGGAACCCTATAAAATAAGAAACAATATTAGAGAGAGGAGAACCAAGACGAACAACGCATCAAATAAGCATACTGATTGGGGGTACAGTTCATTTAATTGCTTTCCTGGGTGGGGGTGTGCTCCTGGCTTTCTGCTGAGGGACCAAAGTGAGGAGCACCCGATTTTCTTCAGCCCTCATCAGCCATCATTCTGGTGGGCCTTTGGTTAGTGAGGTGCTGCCACCCCATCCTTCAGTCTTGAGGGCCTCAGTGATGGCCGGACATTGAAATGAGGTGAAGGCAGCATCCGTGACGTCTAACTGGGTCAGAGTCTGGCAGCTCCTGGTGAGACGGTGCATATTGTCTGTGCTGGCATGGAGTGACGTGCCCAGTAAGGAGAAGACACCAGAGAGATGTTCCGGCTTCCACCTGTGGGAATGAATGTCGGGCTGCTGGTGGGGTCCAGGCAGGATGGAAACCTAGGCCCTCTGCAACTGCTGAAGTCCACCCTGCTGAAGTAACTAAGTCCAGGATCCCACATTGCATTTAATTCTCTTGTCTCCTTAGCTCCTCCAGTGCTTTTTCTCTTTTGCCTTGTTTTTAATGATTGGGACACTGGAGAGTATCAACCAGAGACTTAGTGGAATGTCCCTCAGTTTTTGCTGTGTCTAATACCTTCTCTTGATTAGACCAAGGTGATGAAATCTGTGGGAAAATACCATACAGCTGAGGTGGCTGCTTGTCCTGTCACAGCGGGGGGCCTGGTATCAGTAGTGTTAGTCATGTTAATTAACTTGAAGATAATGGCTGGCAGCGTTAGTCACTAAAGTTTTTATTCCTCTCCACAGTCCGCACTCAGGAAGGGAATTAAGCTGCATCTGCAGGGAAGAGCTTTGTGGATATATGTTAACATTTGCACTGTCTTTACTAGTACTCGGGAGGGGGCTCTCCCTGGTGGCAACGGGTCAAAGCACAGCACTGTGAAGCACAGGGTGCAGCAGACCTCTCCTGTCTCACTGGCTGCTCCCCTCAGCAGTGTGCTTCAGTTGATCTGCCTGTTCTGCTCCCCACTCTGGTGAATCCTTTCACCCCCTTCACCTCTGGCCTGTACCCCAGTTCTGTATGTATAACTAAATAAATCTTTAAAAAGAATAATACTTGGGAGGAAAAAAGAAGAAAAAAAATACTGGGGACTG